CAATTTAGCTCTTACTTGATGATTCTACAGCCGTTTTTTACAGGAAGACATCCATGCTTGCCAGACCAAAGGCTTTGACAACCAAGCTTTTTCAGGAACCCATGTTTAAAGTGGGATTTGTTTCGAGCTAAGAGGAGGCAGCATGATGGATTGGCACGGAGCAAGAAAAGCTAGGTAGTTTACCAGCAGGCTGACGGCTAACGAAAGCCAGTGACCTTTGTTTCAGGCTCCCACAAGAGCCTTTACGATGAGGAAGTCTTGAATGGCTTCGAAGACGAGGCCTGAATATGCAGGGCTCAATCCAGCAGTCCTACTTGTAAGTGGAGAAATTCTTGTACACCTACTACAATGGAGATTTTTCGCACACTAGATTGCGCTCGCATTCCATACACTTTGAGCTCGCTCTGAATTGTGGATTCTCCTCTTCGAAACTGGCCCAAAATATTGAAATCCTACCTCACAGGCAATGGTTTACCACGATGGTACACTCATACAATGATGTATGCCTGTCATTTTCCAAGAGTATTGATAAGTTGTACGGGCGGATTGTTTTGCAATGCAACATTCGCCATGTCTCATACGGTTGTCATATCACCCGATGAAGTTGAACTTCGCATTCAAATTGTCAGAGCCCAAACAACAGGAGGCTAATTGAGACACCCCCACATTCGCAATTGCATCAGAGGATGAGCAAAACTTGCTTTGAGAATGAGAGGGCCTCGACCTGCTTGCACATTCAACCAACCTTACCTGCGCCAAAGCACTGACATTCTGATTTTGGGGAATCCTCAAAACGGACACACGCTAAAGAGCCTACATTCTCATAAGTTGAGGGCTCCTCCTTGACTGCACGAGGTCGACGAAAAGATCTACAGAGTTGCCGAGCAGCGCTTTGAGGAGCTTTTCAAGTGACCTGGCAAGGCATGCAGCGAGAGAGCCAAGTACGTGTGATGCGAGTCCTTGTGCAAAATGGCCGTTGGATTGGAAAGCGCCGGTTTGGTTTGCAATCTGATTGCTACTTGTAGACTTTGTTTTCTAGCAGCGTCTCACGCTGACCACAGACACTACAAAGGACCCAAGTACTGCTGTGGGGCCTAACACACGCTCATGAGGCCCATGTTTGGGGGCCATGGTTCAGGAAATTGCAAGCTACATCCGAAGCAATCTGATTAAGCCTCTGTTGCCTTTGGGAGCGGGCGATTCAAAATTCATGGAGCGGCCACAGCTGGATTTCAACTTTTACCAAAGAGATGTACACCCAATTCAGAGAATGTGCGCAATTCTCAGATGCTTTCCACATAAGCGTTTCAAAGCCCAGTGACCGTCACTTCCAAGGAAGTATGTGGGCAACAGTTCAGCGTGCAGCGTCCTCCAGCCCTCCAATCAGTCGCAGCAGCCTGAGCAATGCGGGAGCTATCTTGGAGCTGGTTTCCAAGCAGCGCTGTTTTTTGGCTTGGTTGCCTTGAGCCAGTTGAGCCTGGGCTACAGCGCTCATGATATCTACGTTCCTCGCAGCTAGCACGCGCTATTGTTTTTCACGGCCCCACCTCGCGACGTCGTTCCAAGGTCGAGTGGAAACTCCAGCAATAAGCTGCTGCAGAAGTCCTCAGAGCCGATGACCTGCTCGTGCGCATCTGAAGGCTGGTAGATGCTATTGGCATTAGCTTGGAGTACTTGCCCACTCAGATTGAATAAGCAACTAATGAATGTTGAGTCAAACAGGTTTGATGGAAAATCACCTAGCCAAGCCAAGCAAATACCATCGGAATCCTTCACCCGAGCATGTACCGCGCTTGAGAGCCACCCGTTTGAGGGCTTGATGGTGCATGCCGTAGAGCTTAAGAGTGTGCTTGCAAAAGAGAGATGCAATTTGCCGGTAGCGCCGCGCATGTTTTTTACTTGGCTTCCAGGCCGTGAGTGCGGCCTCTCCAAGGTGGGCCGGGGGTGGGATGTCTTGAAAAGGCACAAGTTCAGCAGTCGCAATAGCACTACAGCAATAGTATTAGTAACAGTAGAGAGTAATGAATAATGGTCATGATTTTGTATATCATATATTTGTTCATAGTGAGACAAGTACACCTTCAGCTGAGATTTGGCCAACAGGCTTTGATTTTGAGGTAACGCTTAGCTGAGAGCATCCGAAGCCGGCCTTTCACACAATCAGCACCAGAGATGCACCTTTCACTACCTCTTGCTAGGAGGCCAACAATCAGATCATGCCTGTTGAAATAGTTTGGAGGCCTGCATGTTCCAAACGGCCTGGAGCAGGGATTGCCAGGAGGCAGAATTTCTCTTCCCCACGTACAACTGCGACAGTCAATAATTTTTTTGGAGGGCCGCATAACTTCCCAAGGCACAGAACATCAACTGCGGGAACTGCCCGGGCAGCCGGCTGGGCTTCCTGAAGAACCAGAGCCAGGAACTCGGGTGGCCTTTGACTGCTGATGTTTACGTAGCTTCTGTGGGCCTGGGCCTTCCGGAGCACTCAGAGAACTACACAAATCCAAGCAGTTCATTTTAGAGGCTTCGAGAAGTAGGAGCCATTCGGAGACCAAAGATTAAAAGCTACTGAGACGGTGGTCCCCCAATGCAGCCAGTTCTATACTACAGAGTAGGATCTACCAAGCCTCGGCTACACTTGAAGATCTCTGCTGCGGCTTGAATGTAGCTAGTTCCATTCATGCCCAACGCAAGACACCCCGAAGGCCACACGAATCATGGAAGACTTCGGATGTAGCATACTGCTTGCATCTCACTGTGCTTTCATGCCCAAAGCTCAGGCATTCTCAAGATCATTCCTTGCAATCAGGACCATGAGAGACAGGCATATAAAGGCACAGGAAAAAAGCGGGCCGCGCTCGCTCAGATTAGCCCCCAGCTGGCTTTAAGCCCAGTCTAGACTACCAGGAAATGTGCGAGAGCGGGGCCGCTCTTCGTTGAAATTGCCAAGCGATTTGACACGTCCAAGGCGACAATTCGTCAAAGCTCCGATGTGAGGCTAGGTGCTGAGTCCTTGCAGCGTGTTCGTTCTTTTGCAGCATGCGTTGCTTCAACCTCTCTCTACAATGCCAACGCAGCCCCTTCGTCCAAGCCCGTATCTGCAAGCACTGCATGATTTCTCATGTAGCTAAGTTGCTCAGGGACAGCCGCCGTGCAGCAGTCTGCTTTGAGTTGCTTGCCATGTCACCTACGTCAGAATCACACTGCGCCGTGGAATTGCGCTTTCAGCGTGCTATATATTGAGTTAGAGGGCTTTGTGAATGTCTGGGTGGTTTTTACAAACTGGATGTCCCAGTTGAGTCCTCCGAACAATCATTTTTTTGGGAACATAAGGGGTATACCTTTTCTTGGGGTAGGGAACTCATCCGCTGCTAGGCAGACTCTGGTCGCTGCATGCTGGGAGGCAAAGCCATGCCTGAGCTTTTCTCCTGGAGCTTTAAGCTGTAGCCGGTTTAGGTTTCAGGGGTGAAGCCCTATTCAAGCCCCCAACCTGCACCCAAGATGTCATGAAGAATCCTGGGAGACCATCGACTTTGGAGCTTCAAGCCGCCCCGCAGTCCAGGATTCTCATTTTACTAATTGCCTATGTGAAGAGAACCCAACGAAATGCATACATGGAATGGGCAGTTGCGGGTAGACGAGTGACCGTCTGGCGGCAGAAAAAGGAAGGCAGTGGACAGAGTATTCAGCGAAGCCAAACATGCGCCTGGATAGGACCCAACACGAGGAACAGTGGCTGAGTAAACCCACTACTCTGCAGTGCGTGAGCTCATGCCAGCACCGCAGCTGCTTTGTGCTTGCGATGCCATGCCATGCAGCAGGTAGCAGCAGCACCGCTGCATCCCAACTTTGTTCAACATATTGTTCAGATATTTGCAAGGTGATCGCGCTGTGATGATCAGCTGCAGTGCCTAAACCCAAGATGCCACACAGTTTCCTACGGTCTCTGCAGCACATATTCTCAGCATAGGGTACAATACGCAACCAACAAAACCGCCGCTTTAACAAGAATGGGCAATGCCTCCTGCGTGGACCGCCTCGCAGAGTGCCCCGGCTCCCAGCGCGAGATCCCGCCGTTCGTGCCTCCGTCGCCTGGCCGCAGAGATTACATAGGACTGACATAGGCCCACTTACCGTTCATGTGGTCTGTTCTTTGAGGCCGTGGGCCCCTACTATTTGGGGAGGGGATTAATCCGAGATGCACTGCATCTGGACAGTAGGTAGTCCTGGGGCTTGCATAACTTGTTGTCCTTGGGTTTGGCCCATAGCAAGAGGGAGACGTGGCGGTGAGCATTGAGCATGGAGCTGAAGGAGCTCATAGCTGTGTTTGGTTGGGCCGGCAGGCATTGGATTGGAATGTGCAAATCTGGGGTACGGAGTTGTAAGCACCTTTGGGAGGCACAACTTTTCAACTGCGCGGCTGATAGTAGCAGAACATGCGTGGAGGAGACCACTGTGTAGTACATGAATCGCCTCATTAATGGACTGATTCAAGAATGTAGCAGCTCCATTCACCCCGCCTCATTTGGACCCTCTGAGCCTCCCATCATGCCTATCACGTGCCAAGGAACCACTCGGAAGCTGTGGACACATTTGACTTCAGGGAAGCATCTTCGCTGTGGGCAGGAGCCTGTTGCAAGCAAGAAGCAGACGTGAAAATCGCAAAGCTTGAATCTGAAAGGTCCTGAGCAGATGTCTTGAGCAAGAAACTTGTCATGCAATCCATACCCCTTATAAGACCCTATGTATCCCCATTATAATAGTTTCCATTTTCTTTTCCATGATCCCAATATAACCCCAACCCTAAACTTCTATGACAGCTTGCCGCTGCTTCCAATGGCACTGAACAAGTCCTGCCTCCAGGAGCCGTACATGTTCTGGATCCAAATCTGGGCTACCAGCCTGCAAGACAGGCCCAGGGCCAAAAGAAGGAGCAGATGCAATCATCAAGCGAGAGCAATGATAGGATGGGGAAGGACATCCTTTAATTTGAGATGCCCATGCCACCTCCACTGGCTTTGGACACAACAGTCTTAGCAGGCTATCACCCGGGTTTTGAGGGTGTTGTGTCCACGAGATACACGGCTGACTTCGAAACCAGCTTAGGAAGGAGAGCAAGCTCAGAACCTGATAGTCTCGGTGCCTTACCTTGACGAAGCCTCAGATTCTGAGGCTACCCGCTGCATCAGGGTGCCGAGCAAGACAGGAGGCTCCCCAGCAACCCCTTAATGATGAGGGTTTAGTGCATAGGGTTTAGGGTTGAGTCTCTTTGTTTCCAAAGATGTAGGACAGGGTTATAATTCAGCATCGAATGGAAAAGCTAATGGACAATGAAATGACAGGGGTCAGAATGGCAAATGGAAAATCACATGAAAGCAAGCCTTTAGGCTGTAGGGTTGTAAGTAGGGTTTCTCAGAATTGGGGGGGAGGTTAGAGACCCGACAAATATATGAACATTACAAAATGATATGTGGATCCCCATTGACCCGGATCATCCTGATAGTAGCGGTTGGGATGGCAGGTTGGACTTGCAATCGGCCAGCCTTCTGGCAATTCCATGAAGCACTTTTCCTTTGAATTGAGGGTTTAGGGTTTAGTATGGTTTGTAGACATGGTTCGAGACTGGGTCCTGTTAGAGTAGCGCTGTTTGTTTATGATGAGGTCTCGTCTTCGACCCGGCAGTTAGGCCAACAGTAACTGCTACGCTTTGCTGTGCATCCACGCTGCAGCAAGACCCACAGGTGCGAGTTGATCCACGAGGGCCGGCTCCTGAGTAGGCTTAGGGACGCAGAAGGAATGCTGTAACAGCTCTGGCTTCAGTTTCATTTTGGGGCTCATGCCAGTGCAGTCCCTGTCATGTGCTTGACAACAAACAGGATGGAGTTTAACACGCTGGCATAGACAGAGGCACAGGCTCTCTGGCACAGCTTGATGCCATGTGTACTTGCCATGCAGCTGCGCTCTTCGTTCACCAGCTCGGGTTCGTGAAGTAGACTTTTCAACTTGAAGGCGTTACGGGGCTGACTGAAATGGCTCAGCCTCACTTTTAGGACCTATCTTTCGGACTGTGAAGGCTTTGTCGTTGGCAGGGCTCTGGATTGAATCCTAGGAAACAAGAGCCTTACTCAACTGGGGAGTTTTTGATGTGCTGTTTTACCCCCACGGCTTTATAACAACAGGCCACACAAGCAGCTAAGATGCACTCAGGAATCTCACTTTGTTCTTAGGTTGGAACTATGGGCCCCTAATAGTTTGGGCCCTTAATGCAGGAGTCGTTTATCTGTTTGACATACCTACTGTAGACCACGTAAAATTTGCAAAAACCCAACTAGGGGCAGCACCCGAGCAACAGAGGGCCCATGGTTAGGACCTCAAATTTGTCGTGATGTATAACAAGTACTGTGCTGCAAGAATGCCAGGCCAGAAGGTTCAGGACCACACTACGTGAGACATGAGCTGCCATCTTACATCTCATAATCTTCCAAACCCCTTTGATTCATGTCATGATTATTATAACTGTTATTATTGTCGTGACTCTTATAACTGTTATTTATGAATTTTATTGTTGTTATTATGATTATCCCCCCAATCCTAAGCTTTAAGCATCCCTGAAGTCGAATTGCGCCCAGTCGCCGACGCTTGCTCTTCTTATTGGCGGCTAGCAGGGCATAGAGGGAAGACAATCCCTATGTAACCCTCAAATAGAATAGCCCCTTATTTCCTACTAGAACACCAATATATAGCCTACCATAATGTAGTAGTTTCCATGTTCTTTTCCATTATCCCTATATGATAGCGCTTAACCATAAATTCTGGACCCTGAACCTTAAATCCTGAACCCTTATCCATATAAACTCCAACATATTCCCTTCTTCCCTGTCTTCCCAGGTGCCTAAACCCTTAAACCCTTAACCCTTCTTCCCTGTCTTCCCAGGTGGGGACGGACGGTGCTTGAAGATCTGCTTCAGCGGCCGCGTCTTCGTGCGCTGTGCAGAGGACCTCTTCACTGAGGCAGGACCTCGGGCTTCATTCACAGGGGTTCTAGGGGCTATGGGATATGTTGCTGGGATATACACATATAAATATATATATATATATATGTTTGTTTTTTTTCTCCCTCTATGGGGTTCTAGGGGCTATGGGACATATTGCTGGGAGAGATACGTTACATTATTGTTTTAAATATATTCTGTATATATGTATATACATATATACATTTCCGCTCTATATATAGGGAGATACAGTAGATAGTCTATTTACATAGATATATATACCAACGTTTACATTGGGATTAGAGAGTAGTAATGGAAAAGCGAAAAGGGAAGCTACCCTGATGTTGTTTCGTTGCCGCTGCTGCTGCGTTGTCCTTACTCCGTGCATTGTCTGAAAAATGCAGTCAAAGTTCTTATTCTTCAGAATTACTATTAGTCTCCTGGACATCACTCTTACGAGCATTATGACCGGTACGGTCATCCCTAACATGACCGGCACGGTCATCCCTAACATGACCGTGATATGACCGACTGGTTGTATTCTTCATGCTACGGTGCGGCTCGGCATGGCGGTCGGTGCCATTACTGCACTCGCAGGTTGATGTTGGATTCCTATTGTTGTTCTGAGGAAAGCGCTGGGAGAAAGCGGTCATCCAGAAACAGTCTGCTTCAGAAATAGAAGTGTAGTCTCAAGGTTTGTGGGAAGCATTGTGAAACCTGAAGTTGCGTACAGAAGGCAGGCATCCTAGTTGTTCCGAGGGCTCGGACTTCAACCATTGCACGCTTGAAGGCTGGTCCCAGCCGCTACACAGCCTTTCGCTTGTGCACCAGGGCAGTGGAGCTGGAGGAGACCTTTTTGGGACTTGGGTGGGGTTGTGGTGGGGTTGTACTTTGTGATGACGGCGCCGGGGACACTGGCTGTGACGGGGTCTAGCACTGGCCCAGGGCTTGCTGTGACTGGACCCTTCAGAGGCGCCAAGTGCTGCATTGGCATTGTTTTGTTGGGCTTCGGGAGCTTCAAATCAAAATGTGAGGCACGGTTTTTTGACTGAAGGCAGCTGCCCACCGCCACGGTCTAAGCTATCCTCAGGACATCGTGTGTGGCGTGAACTTCAGCTTGCAGCTTCACAGCGCCCCTCCTGGAATCTTTCTGTGCCCATGTGCCTTGCCTGTGACATGGCACAAAATGCATCGTGGACGTCAGCTGACCCAGCGTTGCGGATATGATGGGCTCCCGCTAACCCAGTTCAAGCATCCAATTGTGTGTGTTTGTCGAAAAGTTCATCCAAGGCATCTCACTACAGTTGTCCACCGGCGAGGAGGCACCGGCTTTGGCGGTTTCGCGAGCTGCCCACAACAAGTTCAACCTCAGCTGGGTGTTCGGTCAAAGGTGGGATTTGAGGCTAAGATGTCGGGCTGTGGGTTGGATCTTGCTTCTCCAGCTCAGCATTGCCTGAATGTGTAATCCTGTATTCTCACAACTGGAAGAAGGCTGAGTGTGAGGTCAGCAAGGCTGCTCATGTAATCGAATAACTCCTCCCTCCCAAGTTTTGCAAAAGCAGCTAGATGAACGGGCAAAATGTGCTCCACAAACCTGCTCCAGCAACAATGGGTTTTGGTGATTGTGCGTAATGTACAGGTCCTTCAGAACTAGTGAGTCAGTGCTTTTTATCGGGTGTCCAGTTTGGTGACCAAGTAGAATAGATCAATGCTATCTCAAATGTGCCGTGCCAGGTTGGCCTCGTTGGTGACCGCTTTGGTCCAATTCAACCTCCCCAAGATTTCCTGTTGGATTTCTCCGCTCTGGACATAGGCCCATGGCAGTGGGGCGGGGGATTACAGGCAACAACATTCAGGGGTGAGTTGCTTGGGCTGGAGTAATTAGAGGACTCTAGTGAATTCTTGCCCGAAGAGAGTTTGCCGTGAGGAATCCTTCAACTCGGAAGGCATCCATGCCAGGCATGTTTTTTGTCCAAGTCTCACATAGCCGAGGCCAGGACCAAGTCAGTGTACAGCCGTACTTGTGGAACCCGGTTCCAAGCAAACAGGCGCTGACTTGTTGTGCTCGGGGAGCAACATCTAGCTGCATCTTTACCATCCGGCGCACTGCAACATGCAAACCTTTTACACTGTTCGAGATTTCCTTGACAAACAGCATGTGAAATAAGCTAAGTGCCGCAAGCATGTGCGGCGAATCGAGGCAAGCCTTGTCTCCGACTGCACTCCTCACAAAGTGTCTGCATGCTAGACTGCAGGCCGCGTGAATGAATATGCAGTGCTTGCACACGCGCCTGCGCCCAAACCTGAGGGAAGCGGTCTGGAACAGTTTCCCGAAGAAGAAGAAGAAAGAGCAAGCACAGCCATGCTGGCCTGAACCGCAGAATCTAGACCGTTGTATGAATCGGCTTAGAACTGTCGCAGTACCTGCCCAGCCGCAAAAGAAGCTGAATGCGAGAGGTGGCTCTGACTTGCAGATGGACTCTTGGCATTTTACCTGAGGCATCCTGGCTTTGGATTCTATGCTTTCTGAGATTGTGCAGCCAATATGGGATAATGGAAAAGAACTATAGTATATTGGGGTTATATATTGGGGAAATATTGGGTAATATAGGGATAATAGAAGAGTAAATGGAAGCCTGCAAAGCCAGATTTGAGAAAGAACTGTGAAAGAATGACTGCACAAAGTTTTCTTCGAACCTGGCGAATCTCTTTCACGCAAGAGGCGATGAGGTCTTCATCTGTCTTCTAAAAGGCCTGTGCAAGATTGTTGTAGGATTTGTATGAAGTATTGGCAACGTCTGCGGACATTTCAAAATGCAGCCACCTGTCTATTGCCAAGGATGTCATCCTTCGTGGAGTCACAACCACCAACGTCCTGGATTCTGAGGCGCTCTGCACAGAGAATAGGTGGATCTCCCGGAGCACCAGGTTGTGAGACCAAGAAGCCAAAAAGCTCATCAGGGCGGCCTGTTTGAGGTTACGCACTGATACTACATTGGTCTTGAGGTGGCAACTACTGTCACTACACCGGTGGCTTACGCGTAGGGCAGCTTGCATGCCCCATGTCATGCAGGTCTTGATTGCACGATGACATGCCAAGCTACGCTTCAGTTGGCAGTGTACCACGCAGGCGACATTCTCTAGGCGTGGTGCGTGGACGCTGCGGACACGCTGCTGGGCTCAGTGTTGGCTTTCACCAAGTTTCGCTTGAAGGGTTGACTGTAGGGCGCTGCAGGGCAGGGATTTGGTGGACCCCAGCGAAACACCCTAAACCCTAAACCTACCTTTGACTTGAAATTGCGCACATCACAACTGACCTCAGCATGACACTTATTAGTACCTTCTGCAGTTGGCATGAGCAGGACACGAGTGGAGGTATGAGGCCTCCCTGCCACACTGACAGAAAGCTCCAACGGACTTCAGAAATGCCTCATATGGTCATGGCAGACTAAGAAAGCTGTGACCTTGTAATTCCTGAGGCAATATTCATGCATTCTGGAGCACATCGGGCCCCTAGCCCTAAGTCCTTTCGCCAGGCTTGCAGGACTACACCACCTTCAACAACTCGCAGAGGCCACACCGGGCATACCTGGGGCCATCGGAGCTCGGCGAGAGCTCCGCTGCCTACCTCCAACACTTAGCCTGGGGCCCAGTGCATTGTGGTACCGCAGAAGTTGGACCAAAAAATGTTGAACATGGCGTGATCGATGTAATTCACCTTCATGGGTCTGCATACGGCGTATTGACCGAGGGCAGCAAGAGCTGCGGTTGGGGCACTTGTGATAGGAACCTGTAGCCCAGCATTGTACTGGGGCTAGGCACCGCTTCCTTATCAGCTTGCTTCCTGAAGGGGTTGGCAACGCTGCCTTGAGTTGGAACGCAGTTACTTAGCGTAGAGAGCTTGGGGAGCCTGGTGTTGGTCGGGTCAGTCTTGATGATGAGTCTGTAGTAATTAGGTGCAAGAGAGAGCGGGGTACCTGCAAAGCTGCTGTTTGCATGAAGCCATTTGAAATCCATTTCCACAGTCACAGCTGATGCAAAAGAGGTGGTCAGTGAGGAGCCTTCGCCCGTTGGACATCCTGCCGACGCATGGCGAAATAGCATCTGGAACATCAGCTTCAAAGTAAGGGTAGCGTGTAGCATCAGCACTGGGTTACTGCGTGGAACCGTTCTCTAGAATAATGCTGGCCGCCATGCGCAGCATGCGCGCCCAGGTGACCTTCAATTGGTGGGCAAAGATTCGAGACGAGCGCCTTGACTCGTTAGATGGGTCAAGTTCACTCCTGCAGTCAGAAGGCATAGATTTGGCTTGGCACCGCATCTAATGCCGAGGGCAAATGAGCTACAAGAACGGTCGGTTCCGTGGCCTTCAAACAAATCAATGACCATTGGCAGGGCGAGAGACATAGCACAGATCTGGGCAAAGCATAATTACGTCCACGACGTCAGTGTCCAATTTAAGACATTTGACGATGCAGACGGCGTCACCAAAACAAGGAGAAATAACTTCTACAACATTTCTACAGCGATTCTGGAAAACCCCCAATTCACGCAAACCCGCTTCCACGTGGCCACGATCTCCCTGGGGTGTGCGGGCGCCGTCTGGGGCACCTGCAAAAAGGGCCCCGAAACGGCTCTAGCACACCGTGTTAGGGCCATTTATGCTTCTTTAGGTACGGACTCAAATCTAGATGTCTGGGGGCCCAAAACGATTCTAGCACACTGTGCTAGGGTCATTGTGTTTCTTCAGGTAAAGACGCAAATCTAGACGGTGTGAGGGCCCAAAACGGCCCTAGCACACTGTGTTGGGGCCATTTTGCTTTAGGTAAGAAATCAAAACTAGAGGTCTGGAGGGCCCAAAACGGTGTTAGCACACGGTGCTAGGGTCATCTGGCTTCTTTAGATGAAGACTCAAATCTTCAGGGTCTGGGGGCGCAAAACAGCCCTAGAACACTGCGCTAGGGCCATTTTGCCTTTTCAGGTAAGGACTCAGTTCTAGAGGTCTCTGCGGGGCTAGGACAAAGTCCTGGGGTACGCTTCCAGATCCAGCTAGCTTCTCCTCCATGCTCCCGTCAGCACAAATCCCAATCTCTACTTTGATGAAGGCTCACGAAGCAACTCGAAATAGAAGAAAACATTCGAGGCAGAAAATTCTTAATTCTCCCGACAAGATTTAACTGACGACGTCACCCTGAAAAAAATAAAAGGATTTGGCACAAATTGCCCACACAGATCTGCGGGGTGTTGCAACCTTCTGGCGAAAGCAGAGGAACATGAATTTCAAACACACTTGGGCGCTTGCTCCGTTGTTCAGAGCGCTTCCTTGTTCCCTTCAGTGTGACTCTGCATAGCTTACATCATTACACAACACTCAGGGTCAGGAATCCTCAGCTGGGCACGCATGCTGCAATCCGAGGGGGGCCGAATGGGGTCAGCTGCTTTTCGAGGCAGGGCAGGGCAGCGCAGGTTGCAAGTTGTTCCCCAGCTCACCCAATTAAACAAATTTGCCAAGCCTCCGAATTCCCAGCAAGCGTTCTCCGCTGAAAGCCTGCTTCCTACTGAAGAAGCACCTGGTCAGGGCCTGGACGCACGGCATTTACTTGATCAGGCCTGGGCTTTGCGATTTGATGGTGTTGTATGCATGGAAGCCACAAAATCAGGAGTTCATCATCTTGAACAGGGGGGTGAATGTTTCAATGAGCTTCCATTCAGTATGCTTTGGGTGTGCCGGGGGTAATGTCGTCTCGGCTTTTCGGCGTGTAACCACTCTTAGCGCACGCGTGTAGGCTGCCGCAAGCAAGGACAAGAAAGGGCCGAATGAACAGCCCTAGACATCCCCCAAGCTAATTGCGGAAGTGTATGTAGCTGTTGAGGCTGGCTTTGGCAGTGAGCCGCTCTCAGACTCTGGGACGAATTCATACTTAAGGTCAGGGTTTGGAGTTGGGATGTCAAAGTGTAACCCCTGCATTGGGTGTGGTGGATCAAGCTCCAGAGCAATGTGTGCAGCATGTTCGTTAGGGGGGCCTTTCAGTGAATGGAGTGTTGGAACTATGCCTTTGGGAGATCAATCCCCAAACACCTTCGCTTTTCATGACGGAGTTCGTGCGTCTACTTCCGTTCCATAGTGCTTCATAAGTGGAAGCTGTTGCCAGGTGCTTGTCATACTGTAGCGTGCAAGATGCTGCGACGCCGTGGTCTTGAGCTTGCGAGAAAGCCAGGCCAAGTTTTGAAGAGCTTCAGGCTCTCCGTTGCTGCTACATCCTTGAAAGACCTAAGGATTCCAAAGCTTCGCATTTCTGGCATCACAAGGCCGCAGATGGAAGTACCGGTGAGTCTGTAACAGCGATGCCGTCATGACCGTTTGGGGGCTGTCCGAATTGGAGCTCCTTTGTCGGAGTCGGAGGGTCGACGATCCTGAGCTCTTGAGACTGCAAGGAATGCCAACTGCACAGCGCATAGAACTGTAACAGCCACCCCGGCACCCAAAAAACAAACTTTTCTTGGAGGTGTACGACATGGCAGTTGGCCGCGTGTCCCCGCGAAAGGATCCGGAGAAGCTGTCTGGCGAGTGCCAAGAATGAATTCAGACCTTTGCGTCTTTGTTTGGGGTTTCATGGGGCGGCGTTTGGGTTTTTAAGCGTTTGCAGGCGCAGGCCTGAGGGTCCGACTACTGGTGCTCGTGTTAAAGATCCTTCTACTCCTACCCCTAACACGATTACTACAGTAGCACCACCACCACCACCGGTGGCGCCACCGCCACCGCCGCCGCCCCCGCCCCCGCCCCC